TTGTTGGTCAAGTAAGAATATCAACTGAGAATATCAACACTTAGAGGATTATTAGGTGAATTTACGAGTAAGTTAACACGTTTTTTTTTTTTATTTTTTTTTATCAAAATCAAACCATGCGGTAAATCTTACAGTAGGTCTGAACTGTTTATTTTCTCTCACTCTGGCCTGAAGCTACTTTAAGTTTTTTATCTGGGCCTACAGAGGATTTGGGCATTACAAAAGATATCTATCCTTTGGGCATGGCCGAAATAATATATAGTATTTGTTTACGTTCTGAAATAAAAAAATCTAGTTGGGCCTAATGTTTGCACTGAGCATGACAGATATTGGTTTCAATGAACAATAAGACAACCACAAAAAATCCAAGCCCAAAGCATCACTAAAACCGCAAAAAATTAATAAACATTGAAGCTAAAGAAAGAAAGAGCGCTCGACCAAAAACGAGCTTGTGTAGCCTGGTTTGGGGCTTCGGCCCCTTTGCATACCAGGAAAAAAACAGAGCTTAATACCAAAAAAGATAAAAAAAAAAGAAAGAGCTTGACCCCAAAAAGAAAATAAACAAAAAAGAGGAAAGAGAGCGTTATGCATTCTGTTGACTCTAAAAAATCTACATTCTTCAGCCTAACCTGGGTAAAGTAACCAAAAAAAAAAAACTTGTACAACCATCTCAAGAAAGGTATAGTTGCACATGATGGTTCCCTGTTATATTTTACTTGACCAAAGCATCACTAAAGTATACGCAACATATATCCTAAAATAATGCGCAAGCTCATGATATTTTCCCTTTGAGATGTGATCCCAAACACGGTCAAAACTCAAAATTGTAACTTCTTTTTATTATAAACCGTTGTTCTTGAGTTCCGGTAGAAAATGTCTTCGTTCTTGAATGTAAAAATATGGATTCGTCACTATATGATCACGGTTAAAATAACAATAGTAAATAATGTTAAAATTAGGCATAAAAAAAAAGTATAGGTAATTAATATTTTTTAATCAATAAATTAATAAAAAAAATTAAATATATGTAATCATTGTTTATATAACATTATTAACAAAAAAAAAAAAATAAAACATTCAAAATTTATAAATAGAATATCCAAAATCTAAAGATTAATTAATATTAGCTGATTTTTTATTGGTTAATAAAATAAAATTATGGGAATTGCATCGAAAACACTATGGCATATCCGGAAGAGAAAGAGAAGAAGGAAATGGTTTGAGTGAAGTGAATGACAAAAGAGGGACGATCCGCAACTTACGTTCCCCTTATAATTAAACATCACACGATGTCCCCAACTTCTCTCTCTCTCTCTCTCTTTCTTTCTATAACTTCCTACTTCCCGTAAATGCTTTTTCCTTCACACTTCCAATCACCCCTTCTCTTCTCTTCAGGTAATTCGTGTTCTTTAACTACCTTCCCTTCAACTATTTCAATCAATGACTCAATGGTAGTAGCATAGCATTACCTTTACTCTCCCAGCAGCCTTTTCCCTTTTAATTCCCTTTTCTTCATGCTGCATATAAGGTGTTTGATTAATGTTCTCACATATCTGCACCCGTTTTTATTGAATGGTTCGCATCTTATGTATTCCTCTTCAATCTACTGTCCTCCAATTGTTTCAGATAATTAATGAACTGTGCCAGATGTCTCCGCCTTTTTTATTGTTTGATGGGTACATTATGGGATTTTCTCATAACAAGAAAAGAAGCAATGTTTGTTTGAATGTTGTGTGCAAATTCATGATTGTAGGAGGCTGAAGGATGTCAATTGTCATAAACATATATTGCTATGATTATTGAATGCTGTTGGTTTTAATTGATCATTATTCATATGTGGTAACAAAAGACTTGGATGAAACTACTGTTTGAATGAAGTAACCACATGAAAATTTCCCTACATGCCATACGGTGTTAAAATATCATTAATTCATTATGGTGATATTGGTAAACCTGCTGAAATTCTCTCTATGAAACCACTACCGCTGTTTTTGAAGTTACTTATGTTGGTCTCAGCAAGAATTATCTTGTCTCTACCATTAGGTTGGATTTGATTGCTGGCCCTGTTTGGCGAAAGCCATATGATGTAGCAATTAAGCATTTTGTTCATAAAAGGTTGTTTAGTCAGTTGATTTTCTGCATAAATATTTGTGATTTCCTGTTATGCTGGATGTAGCTTTCAATAGAGGATCCCAGTCCTATATCATAATTTCTTACTTTAAAGTCTCTTAAAATTATATTTGTACTGTTTTGTCACAATTTCAGGTTGTAGCTGCAGGCTGAAGAATTCCAGATCTAGTAGTTTTCTCAGTTGTCATTATTTGAAGTCAGATGAGGACAGGATCCATGATTTTTTCATTATTGCAAGTGCCTAGGTGTAGGATACATGGCTTAGCTAATTATTGGGGTGAAACCTTTCATAGTTTGGGTAAGGCTGGAGGAAACAATTCTAGTGTTAGGCTGCTTAGTTCTAGAATTTATGGGCTTCAGGGAGGGCAGAAAAAAAAGTGGACTCGAAGACCTATAACCACAAATACAGAAGGCACTGGGAGCACCAAATCAAGAAGTACAAATCATGAAATTTTAAGTGAATCTATTTTAACAACTTCTGCAGTAAATGTAAATAAAGGACAGGTACTTCAATTCGACAATGTTCAATACTGTAACTTACAACAAGAAATTGCCAAGAGTAAAGACTTACTTAGCAAGGTCACAGTTATGGTTTTTGATATCGAAACCACTGGATTAAGCAGAGAGTATGAACGAATTATTGAGATTGCACTTCGAGACCTTAGTGGTGGTGAGAACAGCACATTCCAAACACTTGTAAATCCTCAACGCTATGTTCCTAATTCACACATTCATCGCATTAATACTCAGATGGTGAACAGACCTGAGGTTCCCAGGTAACTTAAATGTCTATATCTCTTGCATATTCAGTTCCTTGGATTATGCTTATGTTTGCAACAACAAATTTTTTCACTGTCTGTATAACAGTCTTGTGGAATTTATTTGATTATATGAATGCTTAATTCTGCGCCAGTTTGTTCATCGAGATGGTGATTGAGTTAACTGAAACTATTACTAAATTTTTCAAGGGAAATCACTGAGTATTTTTCCTGTGGCCTTCTGAATTTTCTGTAGGATGGATGAACTTATTCCCATCTTATTGCAATTTATCCGAAGCCGCCAGAAACCAGGGGGATATGTGTTATTCGTTGCTCATAATGCTCGCTGTTTCGATGTTCCTTTCATCAGGAGCGAGTTACGCCGTCATTCTACGGAGATTCCTCCCAATTGGCTGTTTGTAGACACCCTTCCTTTAGCACGAGAACTCTTTAAGGCCAAAGGTCCCTTTCTCTCTATTTGCTTGAACAAATACACATGATTATTATTATTATTATTTTATTATTATTATTATTATTATTATTATTATTATTATGTATGAAAGCCTTAACATTAGTGTTAACAGGAACAAAATCTTCTTCAACAACCCTTGTTTCATTGAGAGACCACTACGGAATCAAAGTGGATGGTTCAGCTCATAGGGCTATGGTAGATGTTGACACATTGACTCAGATACTGCATAGGTTAACCTATGATCTGAAGTTGGAACTCCCTGACCTTGTCAAAAAATCATTTACAGAATCCGATATTCTCAACTCCGAGAAGAAAAAGAAGGGTAAAGGACATTTATGCTCCTGACGTTTCAAAAATTGTACAAATTCACTCCTGACTTTTGTGAAATACTTAATAACCCCTGATCTTCGAAAAAACAGTATAATTATACCTCTCTGTTAGTTTGACTCGGCTAAAAAAAAACGAAAATTGCTTATGTAGCTATTAAAAAAACGTTTGTGATTCTTTTTTTCCATTATGTGAGTGATTTTGTAAGGAATTCTATTGAAAGTTTTCGTTTTTTTTAGCCGAGTCAAACTCACAAAGGGGCATAATTATACTATTTTTTCGAAGGTTAGAGGTTATTAAGTATTTCACAAAAGTCAGGGATAAATTTGTATAATTTTTTAAAAATTAGGGACATAAATATACTTTTCTCAAAAAAGAATTCAGATTAGTTACACAGTATTTTGCAGTTGTTGTAACCCAAAAGGTCATTTGTACCCAAAAATGGGACTGGAATTTGTATTTTAAGGTGAAAAGAAACATTATAATTGTTAACTTATTATTCTCAATATAATATTTGATCATTATATACCATAAGTTTGAATTTTTTTCCTTTATTGGATAAGTATTGATTCCGTTAAAAAAAACGTAGTGTGTTTGGATAGGAAGGAAAATAGAGCCATAGAGGAGGCAACTAAGGAAGTTTGATAGTTCTATAAAACAGTAGAGCCATAGTGAAAGTGGGAATGGATCTTTTCTTTTTTCAAGACTTCTTATCATGTATTGAGTTTTACTATAATACTCAAAAAAAAAAAAAAAATTCAATACTATAATACTATTGTTCAAGAAGATGGAGCCGATTATAAGACTAAAATGGTTACCTATTAATTATGAAAATTGACATATAATAAATTATATAAAAAAAATAATTCAAATAAACGGATCTATTTCATCGAAAAGAGCATGTCATTTACTAGTATCATAACAGAAATCATCCATAATAAATTCAGAACCAAGAAAATGATAATTCGATCTGACGTTTATATTTTGTCCTAAAAGAATCAAACAGCGATGCCATTATAGGCAGAAGTTAGAACTCACTGTCTACATGAAATCAAAGAATAAATTGTCATGGTGGTTGTTGTTTGTATAAACAACTTTGAAATTTGTATAATCAACATTGTTCTTTGATAATGTAAGTAACCAAAAAGGATATGAAGTTATGAACAATTTATCTGAAAACGGAGCTGAAGAAGCCTTTAGTGGAAGGAAGACTATCTTTCTTTCGTGTAAAACTGCCTCAGGAAAGAAACAGAATGGAGTTCTCATATTGCCGTCTCACATTTTGCTAAAAAAGAAAAATTAGACGGACAAATTGCTCTCATTGAGAGTCGAACTCAAGACCTCCCACTTACTAAACGGGTGCTCTAATCAACTGAGCTACAAGAACAACTATTAATAATTTTGACATGGGATTAAACTACTTTGATCTTACTGGGCATTGGCTACATGTAAATCGGTGACAAAAGTATCATTAATGACAATACATTACTTCAGAGTTCAGTCCAGAAGAACAATGATCAAAACCTACTGGATCCAATTAAAAAAAAAAAAGAAAAAGAAAATAAGAGTGATTGCATTATATTGCTTGAACTGTTTGGTACAAGGTACAAACTACAAACACAAAACCCCTACCCACTTTAACTACCAGGACAGGATGTCCACGGAACACTAAAATATCAACATATACAATACTGTTCAATCAAGATAATTAATCATTCAACTGCTCTAATGACCTTTCTGGCTTTATGCAACCTTTCCAGTTTAATAATTTCCACCTGCACCATACAAACATCTAAGGCAACAACCCTACTCGATCTCCCCACTTGAAAAGAAAAATAATTAAAAATTAAAGTTCAAACAATATATATATATTGATTGAATTCCTAAGCAAGGTGTTAAGTTAAGATCATCCTCACCTCAATTGTGTGGTTGCTTTGCCATATTTAAGTGAATTTAATGAATAATTAATATATAGTTCCTATATATATCCACTTCAATTTTATGTGTGGATGCTCGCGCATGATGAGTCATATCCTTATTTCATCTACAGCGAGCTTTCTAAACTGGACTCTTAAATTTTTATTTTTTTAAAAAAAAGTGTGAAATAATAAAATAAATAGGATGGCTGGTTAGCCAAGCCTAGTTGAAGTTATATTCGGTGTAGTTTTTGTTTAGATATAAGGTTATTTGAATTTTGAACGACATTGTTGAGACATGGAATAGGAGATTATATATATAACAATAATTCTATACCTAAAGATATTTTATGGACTAAATTCAATTGAATCATTTATTTGACAAATAAAAGGTCATTTTGATATTAAATATAAAATTATTATGTGTTATTTTTTTACTATTTGATATTTAAATATTTTTTATTTAATATAAAAATTAATAACTTAATTGAAAAAAATAAATGTACACCTAATATTATCTGTATATATAATTAGGTTGTTTGTACACTCAAAATCGTATTTAAAAGCAGCATGATGAATGTTCTTATAAAGTTGACTCTCAAGTCTCAATCATATTTAATATTATGAAAATCTATTTGCTTTTGGCATGACTTTGATTTGTTTAAGTAAATCGTGTGGTTGCTAATTTGCTATTATTCCTTTACATCAGTTCATAAATAAACTTTTTGAGGATTAGCTAGCTAGTATCATTTTGGTTCTGTTTTGCAAAGTGAATTATTAACTTCAACGTCTACTTGCATTGTATGATAAACGAGTGGAAGAAATGTGCCTACTAATTAAATTAAAGCTAACTATATTTGGATGGTCTAGTTAGATTTTACGTCAAGAAATCAAAAGAATAAGTGATCCACGTGCTTCAGAGTTTGGCTTAATTTTTTTTAATAAATTTTAAGTGGTTTGCTTGATGAGAACTGAGAAGTATAAAAAAGAAATATGAAAAGGACACCAAAACCCTAAACATATTAAAGTGAGAAATTTAATACATCTAAAATTATGTTTGAATAATTGATTTTTTTTTATATAAATAAAATTATGTTTGATTTTTTAGTAATTTAGCACCACCCTATAGAGCTATATCCGCATATGATAAGCATAATTTATTTATTTATTTTATAAATATAGATATTTAATGTGAAATGATATATATGGTAGTGATGTCCCCTCAGTGTGTGTATCCTCTGGTCTCTGCAACGTTGAAGCTTCAATCTTCAATCTTCGCCAATCTCTGTGCACGTGATCTCTCCGATTCCATACAGTTAACAGCTATGGACGCAGATTCTTCATGGACCGCACGTCTCTCCTCTGCCTCAAAGCGCTATCACGCCGCTCTTCATTCCCGATCAGGTTCCTTTCTCTCTCGTCAAAATTACCCCCAAATTAATTAATTAATTAATCTGTGGCCACAAAGATCCTAGCTTTATAGCTTTCGCATCGTTGCCAACATCCGATGTTCCTTTTATGTCTTCTTTTTCTAATTAAGTACACAAATCATAAGAACATACATAGAAATTGTTTTTAAATTGAATATTAGTGTTATGCTAGAAAGTTGTAGCTGCTACCACTGAATTGGGCATAAGAACCATGATTTTATCTAATTCTACTGTCCTATACTTGAAATGATAAGCCAAACTTGCTGTTTGGTGTCCCATTTTCCATGTAAGATAGAACAAAGTACAATTACAATGGTAAGTGGTAAATGGGATTGCTGATCTCAAAATATCTCTGTCAGCTGGACCAGTGATATAAAAGTTAGACAGTGAAGAATTTTAAAATTGCATGGCATGACTTTACATATTATTGTTGTTACTATGATTGTTACTTCTCTTTTTGTTCTGTTGTTTGCTTTTTTATGCACTGATTTATCCGAGATTGTGCAAATGTAGATATGTTCTTGGGTTTTGATGAGAATGACGGGGACGATGATATAAGGGAGGAGTTTCTATGCCCGTTCTGTTCTGAGTATTTTGATATTGTTGGATTATGCTGCCACATTGATGAAGAGCATCCAGTAGAAACCAAAAATGGGGTATGACTTCTTTCATTTGCCATTCAACAAGTTTTCTAGTATGTGTGATCTAGTTGTTGCTCAATTAGGGCTTGGCCTTAAAAAGGTGCTGGTTATTTTGGTAGTTTGTCCGTTGTAAATATACTAGGAGGGTTTTATAGATCTGCCAGGTTAGTAACATTGAAAATATTTTCCCTTCCTTCCCCTCTTTTTACTTCAATAGGAGGGTTAGTTTAGTTTTTATATTTATATTTATATTTATTTTCTTGGGTTGGGAGGGGGGATTTGATCTCAGGAAAATCCAATTCTGATTCAGCTTTTGCCTTCTCATATGCAGGTTTGTCCAGTTTGCACATTGAGGGTGGGGGTGGACATGGTTGCACACATAACCCTACAGCATGGAAGCATACTTAAGATATCCTTTTCACTTGTGGTTAATATTTATTTCTCCCTTTTTTTTCAAATAGTATTTGTATTAAACATCCACTTAATGCAGGTTCCACTTTTCAGGTTTCTGTTGACACTTCCATTACATCCTGAGAAATTTAGCATTAAGTGAAATCTCTTTCGTTGTTGTTTTTGTTTATTTTTCCCCTCTCTCTCTCGAAAATTTAGTTGGTAGCAAAGTACACAAGTTTCTAAACGGCTGCTGATTCAACATTTCTGCTTAACACATTTACAATCTACTAATGTGTGAATGCTTAGTTAGTAATCTTAATTATGATTACATTCATGTACCCTCTACTGAGCATTTGTGCCAGATGCATATCTTTAAACAAGGTCTATTTTTTTTTTTCCCAGTTTAATTACACATTCTCATGCAGTCATGCTGTTGCATTATGGCATTGTCCCTGTACTATTAGAAGGATGGTATTTTGTATATAATGTGTTGATTCCTTAGTCAGTAAATACATGCAGCGCAAGAGGAAATCACGCAAAGGTGGATCCTATTCTACACTATCTTTATTGAGGAAGGAGCTACGAGAAGGAAATTTACAATCCCTTTTTGGTGGGTCCTCATGTATAGTTTCCTCATCCAATGCCGCACCAGATCCATTGTTGTCATCATTTATATTGCCCGTAGCCGAAGACTATTCCAGTTCACAGCCTCACTTATCTACGGACACAAGGCCATCCAAGAAAACTTCAGATGACGAAAAACAGTATGTCTTTTCAGTCAACCTCTCTTCAGCGAAATCCAGTTGTTCTAGTTGCTTCTAGGCAATTAGGTTCCTATTTGTACAGTTTTTGACTAAGGGCATATCTTCTAACAGCAATACTACAATTCGTGCAAGTATAACAAGTTTTCTGATATTGGCTAGC